CTTTTTTTAATTTCTTGTTTTTTAAATTAACATGTTAAATGGTGTATATTTAGCATGTATGACATAATGTTTTGAAGTGTATATACACTGTGGAATGGATGAATCTAGCTAACTAAAAAATGCATTACCTCACATAATTACCATTTTGTGGTGAGAGCACATCCATTCTCTTAACATTTTTCAGGAATACAACATGTGCTACTTGGCATGCACCAGGCCCTTGTCCAATCCCTAGCACCACCAATAAAAAAAGAAAGAATACAATCTATAACTAGTCACCATGCTATACAGTCTCTTAAATTTATTCTTCTTCCTAACTGTAATTATGTATCCTATGACCAGCATCTCCCCAATCCCTCCTATCCCCTAACCACCCCAGTCCCATTTTACTTTTTACTTCTACGAAATCAACATTTTTAGACTTCACGTTTAAGTGAAATCATGCACACTTGTCTTTCTGTGCCAGCTTGTATCACTTGACATAATGTCCTCCAGGTTTATCTCTGTTGTTACAGGTCACAGAATTCCCTTCCTTTTACGGATGAATAGTATTCCATTGTGTGTATGTACTGCATTTTCTTAATCTATTCATCTGTTGATAGACATACTCCATACCTTGGGTATTGTGAATAATACTGTAATAAACAGAAGAGTGCAGATATCTCTTCGACATTCTCATTTTACTTCCTTCAGATGTATACCCAATAGTGAGATGTTTATATAGTAGTTCTATTTTTAGTTTTTGAAGACCCTCCATACTGTTTTTATAATGAATGTCCTGAATTACATTCCCACCAACAGTATATAAAGGTTTTCCTTGTCCACAGCCTCACCAGCACTTATTAACTTTTCCTTTTGATAATAGTATTTCTACCAAGAATAAGGTGATATCTCATTGTGATTTCAATTTTTCTTTTCCATATGCTTAATAATGTTGAACCTTTTTTAATAAACATTTTGGGCATTTGTATGTCTATTTTTATTTTTGGGGGGGAAAATTTCCATTTGGGTCTTTTGCCCATTTTTAATTGGGTTGTTTTCTTGCTATTGAGTTGTTTTGAGTTCCTTATATATTTTGGATATTAACTCCTTATCGAATGTATAGTTGGTAAATATTTTTCCAGTTCCATAGATGGTCTCTTCACTCTGGTGATTGTTTCCTTTGCTGTGCAGAAGCTTCTTGTTTTGATGTAATTGTATTTGTCTATTTTTGCTTTTATTACCTCATATCCAGAACTATGAGGCAACATATTTGAAGACATGTCTGAAGAATTATATAGCCCAATGTCATGAAAACTTATCCCCATGCTTTCTTCTACTAATTTCATAGTTTTGGGTCTTACATTTGATTTTTGTATTTGTCATTTCAGCTTGATTTTTGTATTTGGTTTGAGAAAAGGTGTACTTTCATCCTACATGTGGATGTTCAGTTTTCCCAACACCATTTATTGAAGAGGTCATTTTCCCCCACTGTTGTTTTTAACACTTTTGTCAAAAGTCATCTATCTATAAATGCATGGATTTATTTATGGGCCCTCTATTCTGTCCCACTGGTCTGTATTTCTGTTTATGCAAGTACATGCTATTTTGATTACTACAGCTTTATATAGTATATTTGAAGTCAGATAGCATAATGCCTCCTACTGTGTTCTTTTTGCTGTAGATTTCTTTGGCTATTTCAGTATCTTTTGTGATTTCATACAGTTTTGGGTTTTTGTTGTTGTTGTTGTTTACAGACAGTGTCTTTCTGTGTCACCAGGCTGACCTCAACCTTCTGGGTTCAAGTTATTCTCCTGCCTCAGCCTCCCAAGTAGCTGAGGCTATAGGCACACAGAACCATGCCTGCTTCTCCATACAATTCCAATATTTTTTTCTAGTTCTTTAAATAATGACATTGATATTTGAATATGGAATGCATTGAACCTGTAGATCACTTTGGATAGAATGGACATTATAACAATATTAATTTTTCTATTCTATGAATTCAGGATATCCTTTGATTTATTTTGTCCACAATTTCTTTCATTTTTTATAGTTTTCATTGTAGAGATTTTTATCCTTGGTTAAATTTATTCCTAAGTATTTTTGTAATTATTGTGAATAGGATTTTTTTTTACTTCTTTTTCAGATAATTCACTATTTGTGTAGAAACACTGCTTATTTTTATATGCTGATTTTGTATTCCACAACATAACTAAACTTGTTCATCTGTTTAATTTTTTGTTTTCTAAATATAAGATGTCATCTATGAATAGGAACAATTTCACTTCTACCCTTCTTGCCTTTTATTTATTTATTTTACCTAATTGTTCTGGCAATGGCAAGCAGCATCCTTGTATTCTTCCAAACCAATTTATTCATGATTCTTTAATGATCGTGTGATGATCATTTTAAACTCAGTGACCTGAGGAGTGTCATCAATTTGCAATGTAAGGATTTTGCTCATTGGTATCCTCAGTCCAATCCACACATTCAAGCATCAGCTCTACCCTGTGTGAGAGCTTCTTGCAGCCCTGTGGCAGGTGGCTTCTTTGTTAGTTTTCTTGAAAAGAGGCCCCAACCCCTCCCCCAATAGGGGATAGTTTTAAGATTTACTGAGCCCAACAACATAAAAATAAATAAAAAGCAGTGATGAGGGCGGGTATATGAGAAGGACCAGATGAAAAGTATAAATAGCATTAAGATCAATTTCCCACATTTCCCATATAGAGAGCACATTTGCCAGAGCTCAAGATGTGTATTATCACTCAGCAACTGGCAAATGCCTAAGAGTGTAGTGGAAGAGGCTTACTTCTGGGGGAGTTAATTCTGCCTTGATTCTGCTGTTGCTGTCTATAGTGGAGCTGTTGCAGTGAAAGAAATTGGCTGTGCAGCATTCTTATCTCCTTCTTTAGTGACCTATATATACACACTTGCTTGAGGTATTACATATACCCTTTTAAGGTTTCTGGGAGAAATACACATAAAACAGATACAGTAGGTACTACATTTGCTGAATCTATTACCATATCAGTTTAATAGGACTCAAAAACGTAGGTCAGATGAGCTGCACTTTACTACTGGTACTATGGGACAAGACAAAGAAGGATTATCACCTGCCTTTGATTGGTTGATTGGTTTGGTTAATTGGTATACATGATGCTTTGCTCCAAAACTAACTTAGGACAACACCCACCCACCAGACTGTGTTGTCACCTTCTATAGTTATGTTAGGTGCACAGTTAGACTTATGGCATATTCAGTAACATACAAGCTTTTACTAAACACGTATCATGTTAGAGACTCTGGTTAGGTTAGATGCAGTGTTAGAGAAATGAAGGAGCTTACCATCATATGATAAAAACAGATATAAGTACCAGTAAAGGGAAACAGCACTGATTACCCATGTAGAACTATAGTGTGGGTCTAGCAGACATAGATTTTTGTTTCCTTGTTTTTCACCAAATATCTTGGGACTTGTTATCTGACAGAGAATTTTTTTAAGTTTGGAATTTTATTTAAGTACTTCCAAAATATTAAGATTTAAAATCCCATTCAGTTATGGATCTAAAAAATTTCCCTTACTGGAAGGAATGCAGTGATATAGGATTGATGCTCCCTGGAGAATCCTGCACACATCCTCACTCCGACCACAGGAGGTGGGAAGACAGTGCCATTCATTCTCTCTAAAAGAACTGAAGAGGGCTCCCAGAGGAGGCAATGTCCAAGTTGAATTTTGAAAAATGGATACAGGTCCTTGCAACAGTTTGTTTCTGTATGCTACAGTGAGTTTAATTTATACAGAAGTCAGATCCAAAGCTTACCAGTCTGTCTTTCTCTGCATTCATTCCCCCAGCTGAAATTTTTGATCACTGCTACTAAACCTTCCAGCAAGAGCCCAAGATTGCTGTTTTCATTTTATTTGTACACATGATTTGTAGACCTGCCTCTCCTTCTTAGGGGATCAGCAGTGCTTGCAGGAACCTAGAGGATGTGTAGTGTCACAGACAGGGTAAGATCACCTACCCTGAATACCAGAAACTTTAATTCATTCCGTCTGAAAGAACAGTGAACGTTAGGCAACATATTTTTAATTGTATAAGTCATTGTGTGTGCAGATGTGAGTGTACCAGCTGTACATAAGTACCACATTTTCAATCTGTGTAAAATATAATGGATAAGGAGCAAATGACAGTAGGCTTAGCCCCTGATGATTTACAAGGCAAGAAGGCAGCTGCCTGGTGAAGCTGCTGCTAATAATTAGGGAAGGCATAGCCTGTGTCCTGTGCCACTCAGCAGCTCCAACCATTGAAATGACAGCCAGTTTGCTTAGCTCTCTAACCCCCATTCTTTGTGGGCCAGGAGTTAATTTCTTGTTGAGAACATTGCTTTTGATTGTCATCATCTCCGCTATCATTATAACATCAGGTGTGACATGATGATTGAAAATCCCAAGTAGAAACCATGATGGATGAGCAAGATAGGAGTTGTTTTTAATGTTTCTTTTAACATTGTTAGTGAGGGAAAAACTATTTTTGAAACCCCATGGACTGAGTTTTTAACAGGGCCCTGTTGCCAGTTCTGTGGTTGACAAGAAAATGATAATGCTTTCTTTGGCTCGAGTGATCTGCAAGAAGTGTCACAGCACTCCCTCCTTGTGGAGAACAGCTCTCAACAGGACTGATTGGGAGGGAAATTAATAGGCTTCCCATTGTTCCATGCATTTTTGCCAGGATATTTCATTAGTGTAAACACTGAACCCTTTGTCATCTTGTTCAGCCACTTGACCCTGGTGATTTTCAATTCTGCTTGTGCCCTGATGAAGTATAGCAGTGGCATGCACGAGACAGGCACTAATTATTGGAAGCAGAATCATTGCTGACCCAGTACGAGATTAACTGCTCCTTTGCAGTCTTTATTGTGGGATATTAGCAGTGTCTGGTTATCTTGCTTCAGTTGAGGGATTCAGGACAATAGCAGTGCTGATGGTAATGTTGGCAATTTCCCTGTTTGTTTTGCAGGTCACTGCCAGGGGCTTTGGGCCGCTGTTACAGTTTGCCTACACTGCCAAGCTGTTACTCAGCAGAGAAAACATCCGCGAGGTCATCCGCTGTGCTGAGTTCCTGCGCATGCACAACCTGGAGGACTCCTGCTTCAGCTTCCTGCAGACCCAGCTCCTGAACAGCGAGGATGGCCTGTTTGTGTGCCGAAAGGACACCGCGTGCCAGCGCCCACATGAGGACCATGAGAACTCCGCGGGAGAGGAGGAGGAAGAAGAGGAGGAGACGATGGATTCAGAGACAGCCAAGATGGCTTGCCCCAGGGACCAGATGCTTCCAGGCCCCATCAACTTTGAGGCCACTGCCCTCCCAGTAGCAGAGAAAGAAGAGGCCTTGCTACCTGAGTCCGACGTGCCCACGGACACCAAGGGGAGCTCAGAAAAGGATGCACTGACCCAGTACCCTAGATACAAGAAATACCAGCTTGCATGTACCAAGAATGTCTATAATGCATCATCACACAGTACCTCAGGTTTCGCAAGCACATTCAGTGAAGAAAACCCTGGCAACAGCCTCAAGCCAGGGCTTGCCATGGGGCCGATCAAAAGTGAGCCACCCAGCGAAGAGAACGAGGAAGAGAGCATCACGCTCTGCCTGTCGGGAGATGAGTCTGACATCAAGGACAGAGTGGGGGATGTCGAGATGGACCGCAAACAGCCCAGCCCTGCCCCCGCCCCCGCCCCCACCACCCCCACCGGAGCCACCTGCCTGGAGAGATCCAGGAGCGTGTCCTCGCCTTCCTGTTTAAGGTCTCTATTCAGTATAACAAAAGGTGTGGAGTTGTCTGGACTACCCAGTACATCTCAGCAGCACTTTGCCAGGGGTTCAGCGTGCCCTTTTGACAAGGGGATCACTCAGGGTGACCTTAAAACTGACTACACCCCTTTCACAGGGAATTATGGACAGCCCCAAGTGGGCCAGAAGGATGTGTCCAACTTCACGCTGGGGTCGCCCCTCAGGGGGCCTGGGTTGGAGGCTCTCTGTAAACAGGAGGGAGAGCTGGACCGGAGGAGTGTGATCTTCTCCTCGAGCGCTTGTGACCAAGTGAGCACTTCGGTGCATTCGTATTCTGGGGTGAGCAATTTAGACAAAGACCTCTCCGAGCCGGTGCCAAAGGGTCTGTGGGTGGGAGCTGGCCAGTCCCTCCCCAGCTCACAGGCCTACTCCCACAGCGGGCTGATGGCTGACCACTTGCCAGGAAGGATGCGGCCCAACACCAGCTGCCCGGTGCCAATCAAAGTCTGCCCTCGCTCACCCCCGCTGGAGACCAGGACCAGGACTTCCAGCTCCTGCTCCTCCTATTCCTACGCAGAGGATGGGAGTGGGGGCTCACCCTGCAGCCTCCCTCTCTGCGAGTTCTCCTCCTCACCCTGTTCCCAGGGAGCCAGATTCCTTGCCACGGAACATCAGGAGCAGGGCCTGATGGGAGATGGAATGTACAACCAAGTCCGACCCCAAATTAAATGTGAGCAGTCTTACGGAACCAACTCCAGCGATGAATCTGGATCGTTCTCAGAAGCAGACAGTGAGTCGTGTCCTGTGCAGGACAGGGGCCAGGAGGTAGGGAACCCACATAAGTTCAAGCATGTGACCTACTTTCTCCGTTCTTTGGACTTTTCCCTGCCCTCACCACCACTCCCTGATTGTTCTTATTTGCCAAGGCTAAAGGCGATAGTAAAGGGACTTCCCCCAATCCATGGAGGCAGGATACAGTAAGGTGATTCCAAATTAACCACTTTTGCTTTAAAAGGAACTAAGTATTTGCTCTATATTTCAGTACTCAATGAGCAGAAGTAGCTGCTTATGAAAAGAGTAAGTCTAATGCATGAAAATGCATTCAGGTACTTTGGATCCTCCCCACCCCTCCTCCTCCCTTTCTCCTCTCACCTCCAACTACTTTGAAAGGATACTGTATGTATCACCCTCATTCTTGCTTTTCAATCCCTTCAGCATGAAGGGAAATGTAGATTCTCTTTCAGAATTGATTGATTGAAACTAGATAGATCAACACAAAACAAGTGCTCTCCCAGTACCTTGTATGTTTTCCTTGTCAACAGAAGACCCCCAGGGTCATCCTGTGTCCATCACAATGTAGGTGATGGAATGCTGGTCATCCATTCTTGTCCCAGGATCACTGCACAAGTGTCTTAGTCAGCACAAGTAGATATATAATGGCTCATTTCCGGAGTTCTCACAAAATGAGAAGTCATTTTATGGAGTAGTGGTTGTATATACCCTGAAAGCAAAGTGCTTTGTAGATAAAAATATCCAAAGCCTCAGTCCATGTCTCACTACTTGTGGTAGAAGAAACAGGGGCAACACCAGCCATATCATGAGCAAGACTCATGTGACTAAAGAGAGAGAAGAATAGGAGCCTCCATTGGTCCCCACAGTGTTCCCTAGATAAATCAGGAGTCTGTGTCATAACCTGGCACTCTCTGCACTGTCTTGCTGCTGACACGGAACCAGCCTGAGACACACCTGTGCCTCAGATCTGCTTCAGGAGCAGGAGTGAGCAAACCTAGCCAGTGACAAGTCCTACACTCCTGTGTCCAGAAAGCACAGAAGAAAGGAAGTGTGGTCCTCGTGAGGCCAGCATACTGGACTCATCTGCACTTCCTGGGTGTTAGCTTCTGTGGGGCAGCAGATGTTAACCTAACCAGACAGCAGAAATGCCACACGGGGTGAGGTGACTTTTTACAGAGCCACGTGCAGTTTATTCAGCCTCCGCAAGATTGGCAGGCAAGAAGCACTTGAGGTTTTAGTTCAGGCATGTTTTGAAAATAGATTCCAGAGCTCCCTGTGCCAACTGTAGAAATGCCCTGTGGTCACTTCCTCTGCTTTGCTAACTAGCCTGTTCCCTGCTCTACTGTTACTACCTGGCACAAATGGAGAAAGACAGAAAAACAGAGGATTGAATTTAACTAAGAAAATTATAAAGGAAATATGAATAGGAACTATTTCCATTCAGATGTACCTTATCCCCTTGGGTTTGGGATGCACCCAGTATCCCAGTCAGATGCACAGATATGTCCTGGCCTCCGGAGGAGTGAGGTTTTGTGAAAACAGGGAAATGTTTGCATTCTCTGTCCTCATTCATTCTTTCCTTCTGACCACAACTTCTGTGGGGTTTGCTTTTTGTCCCCGGAACTGTCAAGCAGTGTACCTGATGCAAAAAGCTCATCTCTGGGCTAAGTTCATCCGCGTGACGACTTATCTTGCCCTGTACTCTGTGAAAAGAAGACTAATGCCTGTCCTTTTAGAGAAACCCCACCATTCAGCCCTCAAGAGGTTGTGTTTTTATGATGTGTGCATATGTTTCAGGAACTGTCAGTTTCGGATACAGTTCCTTGTGCCCCTGTAATAGTCCAAAAGAGAGCTTATGTCACTTTTTGGAACTCAGCACCATCAGCAAGAAAGCATGTGTCTTTTCCACGTTCAGGCCACGTCAACATCCACCTTAGAGCTGAAAATACTCAGTTAGAAGGAAGAATTTTTCTTTCAACCTATAGAAAGTCAAGAATAGGACTACCCTCCCCTAAATAAATACCCCTGCTTGTAATTTTTGTTTTTACTTAAATCTGTTGTTTGCTGTGTTAGTCAGTTTTTTGTCACTATAACCAAAATACCTGACAAGAACGACAAGTTCATTTGAGGCTTATGATTTCAGAGGTCAGTCTATGATTGGCCAATTATTCTGGGCCCACGGTGAGGCAGAACTTCATGGTGGAAGGGCATGGCAGAGGAAAGCTCATGTTAGGTATGAAGTGGAGGAATAAGCAGATGGAGCCAGGGACAAGATATATAATCCCCAAGGGTATGCCCCCAGTGACCAACTTCCGCCAACCAAACCCTACCTGTTTGCATTTACCACCCATTACAGTATTCCTTTTAAATAATTTCTACAGCAAATGGATCAATCCACTGATTAGGTTACAGTCTCTCATAATCTGATCATTTCAGTTCTGAACATACCTGCATTGTTTAACATGACCTTGTGGTGGGTTGGGGGGGCAGGAGGAGACACATTATATCCAAACCATAACATTTTGCATTCCCTAAGTTACAAGAAAAGAGACATTTGCCAAAGCTCTCTGCCATCTCAGGAGTCACACTCAGCCATTCTTGGTAATTTACTTTGTTCAGAGGAGAAATAGTCAAGCTAAACTTTTTCCCAGTTTGACATTTCAGTGTTCCTAGAGTAGGGGAGGTCAGGTTTTCTAAGAACTGACTGTGTCTCAGGGACTTGGCATGACTGCTCCTCTGGGAAGTAATAACATTTTTATAAGGAGTTATTTTGACCTGGTGGAAGTGTTGTTCTCAGGAATATGCTAAAGGCAGTTCCTTCCCCACATGAGTTATAACTTGTTTTTTTTTTTTTTTTTTGTTTTGTTTTGTGTTTTTAACTGATCCAGAAGCCAGCATCTGTTAGACTTATTCTGCTCTGACTTGCTGTCATATGGGATCCAGGTGCTTTCTCTTCAGGTAAACCCCAAGGAGACACCAGAGTCAGAAACCAATTTGGGGTTCCTACATGCAACCCACCACCAGTCTAATACTAAAGGTGTTCCTGCCCAGTCTCTTTTTCTCCACTTTTGTAAGGAGCCAAATGTTAGCTCAAAAGAAAAGGGTCGATATAGCTTTTCTTCCATAAGATGTTCTAATTACACCATGTTAAGTAGCTCTCCCATCTCATAAATTTTTAATGTTTTAATTTTAATAAAAATTTTTAATTTTTAAATTTATCATCTTTTTTAACTCTTTCCTAGCTTTGAAAAAGACTTAAATTAGCACAATAAAGTTCTTTATCAATTAAATAATTTAAATAATTTTTGGGGGGTGCTGTTGATGAAACTCAGAGACTCACACAAGCTAAACATGTGCTCTACCTTAAGCTACACCCACAACTTTCTTTTTTTAAGTGCTAAAATACGGAATACCCAGCCCCAAATATACCAAATTTAACAAGATTCCTCTGTGCCTCTAATGATATTTATTCACATATTTTAATAGCATTATGCTGTATAATTCTCAGCAACTTCCTTTTCCACATAGCTATCTACTGTGTACATGCCTCTAGTCGATCACATACTGCCAACATGTGCTTCTCTAATATCCATAGCTCCCATAAGTCATAATTTATTCAGCTATCACCTAGCAACAGATATTTCAATTGCTTCCACTTTCTTCCCCCTTATAAAGATTGCTCCAATAAACATTTTTGTGAACATATTGTTAGTAGTGGTTCTTTTATTTATATGGGTTGTAGTCTCATAAGTGAGGTAAAGGTTTTACCCTTTTATTTAGACCATCTAATTACCTTGCCAACAAGTTAACAGATTATAGCGATTCAAATACCTTTCAGCAGGTAAGGAGTCTCTATTTCCTCCATTCTTCCCAGTGCTAGTTATCACCAGTCTTTGTAACTTTTGCTTTTTTGATGGGTATAAAATGGTGACTGCCAGTGAGGTTAACCTCTTGTTTGGTGTATTTCACCATTTGAATTTCCTTACCTATGAATTGCCATTTTACATCTTTGCCCATTATTCTTTTGTGGTGTTTAGCTTTAAACAATTTATAAGACCTTAATCCTGAATATTAGGATTATTATTCCTTTCTCATGGATGTTACCTTTGTTTTCTCCTAGTCTATTTATTATTTATAGTATTTTTTCCATATAGAAAATCTTAAATTTTATCTAGTCAAGGTATCAGGTTTTTTTCTTTTCTTTATGACTTTTCTGGTTTTGCTATATTCCTTAAGAAGTCAGTTTGTGGGGCTGGGGATATGGCTCAAGAGGTAGCGTGCTCGCCTGGCATGCGTGCGGCCCGGGTTCGATCCTCAGCACCACACAAACAAAGATGTTGTGTCTGCCGAGAACTAAAAAAAAAAAGAAAGAAATATTTTAAAAAATTCTCTCTCTCTCTCTCTCTCTCTCTCTCTCTCTCTCTCTCTCTCTCTCTCTCCCTCTCTCTCAAAAAAAAAAAAAAATAAAAGCTAAAGGCAAAAACTTAAAAAAAAAAGAAGTCAGTTTGTAAATTTTTCTCTTCCAAGGATGAAACAAGTGAACAAGTCATATCATGTAAAAAGTCACAAACCAGTATGCATAACAAGGTCCTAGTTCCTTTCATAAAATACATATAAGAATACAGAATAATGGGCTGGGGTTTGGCTCAGTAGCAGAGCACTTGCCTCGCATGTGTGAGGCACTGGGTTTGATTCTCAGCACTGCATATAAAAATAAATAAATAAGGGTCCATCAATAACTAATAAAACATTTTTTTAAAAAAAAGAATACAGAATAAGATATAGAACCAGTACACAGAATAAGATAAGTTGGAAGCAAGGTTTGGGAAAGGGAGTACAGGGAAATTTTCATTTTTGTGTAGGTCTTTAATGTTTGCATTGTATGTATGTATGTATATCTGAACACACACACGTTTATTTTTTCATGGAGTCATAATATCTATACCATAAAATTCACTGTGTTAATCAGCTTTTTATTGCTGTGACAAAATACCTGAGAAAATCAACTTAAAGAAAAATAGGTTTTTGGCTCA